GGGGGGGGGAGGGAGGAAGAGGAGAGGGTTGCAAAGATGTAAAAGAAAAAGCCACAAAGGTGAGGTGAGTACTGTGGAAGTAGTGGAATATGACATAGAGTGGGGTGATGGTAGTTTGAAGTGAGAAGTCAACTGCCAGTTAATAGACTTTTTGACGTATGGGTATACGTTGCCCAGGGTGCACCACGTGGAGATAAGTCTATCGCGCAACTCATTATACGTAAATGTATTTCGTAATGAATTATTCGTCTCATTTAATAAGGAAAAAGGATGGGGTAGTTGATGCTTGCAAATTGACTTTCATCTTGCTGGACTCTAATCTGTCAAAATGCAGAAATATGGTCTCTATTAGCAGGTATCAGATTCGATTATGAAGGAATCATGTTGCTGATTGTATGGCATTCATTAGGTGTATGGAAGATGCAGCTAGAAACACGCCTATCTAATACTAAGCTTGAGGCCAGTTAGATGAATGTAGCGTATTAAATTGGGGTTGACCTGTTAGTCAGCTGTAAATGGATCCAGTAAATCAAATGCCTTAAATTATTGATTCAATGTGATGTTGGCCATTTAACTTTTCTAAAATACATTAGATAATCTTGATTGTTCTTCTAGTTTATTTTAACATCTGTTTTATTAATTAGAGGTCATGATTACGAAATCCTCGACTTGGCTTGGTCACCGAATGAGAAGGCTATAGTATCAGGAGGTGTAGATAAGAAGGTCATTCTTTACACATTGAATATACCTGCAAGCGGTGATGTGACTTCCCTGACTGTTGACAAAGAAGTGCTCGGTTCGCACAAACACCTTGTCCAAGGAGTTGCTTGGGATCCGGAAGGCATGTTCGTCGCCTCTCTCTCCAACGATCGGTCTTTCCATGTCTATAATGTGAATAAGAAAACGCGTGCTTTCAATGTCTCGAAGGTGGACAAAGTGTATTTATTCCAGGTATGTATAAAAAAATATTGATCTTATTATAAAGTCCATTTTGAATTATTGTGGTGCCAGGAAGCCTGGTTTTTCCGTATTAATCTAGGTGCCCGCTGGATAAGGCCGGACTACCGTTGACTCATCCGGAATCGGGGTGAAATATAGGACAGAGATTCAGTTATTCCTTGGTATTTTATTGGTGTTGTAAGGTTATTTGCGTCGAAGCTCATTGCCTGTAGTGATGGAGAGTTTGTCTGGTCCCACTGACTAACTAAATGGTTAGGCCAGAAGGTATCTGCATGTCATTGTTCTTTCAGTTTCCCAATGAAATTGAATATCAAATAGCCGTTCTTATATATACCTCAGTAAATTTTTTTAAAATTAATAGATTGGGACTAATCTTACTATACAGGTGGATTGGACGCTATTCTCATGCCTTTAGGTCCGATAAGGGAATTGAGAAAACACACGCACTTTGGGTCTTGTTTATTCTAGGGTTGTCTGATTTTCCGTGGCCCTAGTTTATTTCCTAGGGAAGTCTAGATTGTGCTTAGTGTTATGCCAATAGCTGAAAATAAGGTTAAAATTTGCTTGATTGTTTGCAACCTCTCGCGCAGAGTTCGCGTTGAAATTTCAATTTTATTGTATTGATTTCTCTAGGGAAAACATTTGGCTTCTAGTGGTCACACGTAGCAAATCTGAGGGTTCCAAAATGCAGAATAATAAACCAAAAGGGGGGGGGGGAGTATTGCAATATTTTGGAATTATCATCTAACTCGAATTGATCTGTTCCTCCGAGCAATGCTAAATCCCACCAGTTTAGCTACGTTTTAAGTCCAGCTCGAGATATACCTTTCAATTGTCCGAGTAAAAGCTTTCCCCAACAGGAGAGATGATGCGTGTTTTGTTGAATAATACGTGGGAATGAATTCCAAATGGGTGGAATTAATCGTTGAACTACCCATTAATCATATAGTCGGATGCTGCATATAGAATCGCTGTAAATGCATATCAAAGAGCACAAATCACTGAGATATATTGTATATCTTGTGAATATTATGAAATGATTATTTAATTCCTTTGCCTAAGAGTATTTCTACCACCTCTCTTAAATAGGACGATTCCTGGCGATCATTTTTCCGTCGTGTGGCTTTCAGCCCCGATGGTGCAATTCTCGTCTGTTCCTCGGGTAACCTCGAAGCTGCTCAATTCGCTGGCGATATGGGTTCTACTGCTGCTCCTGCTGCTGCTGGTGGTGGTGGTGGTGGTGTTCCACGCGAGCCCAACTCTACTAAAAGAGATGAAGAGAAAATGGAGGTGGAGGAGGGTGGTGCTGGAAAAGAGGTTGCAGATAAGGAGGGAGATGGAGAGAAGGAAAATAAGCCGGTGGGAGCGGCAGAGATACCGGCTGCTTCCAGTGAGTTTCACTGCCCAATACTGTTTCAGGCAGCATAGTAAAAGTGGTATAGTGTTTCAATTAACTTGTCTCAGACCACTTGACTTGTTTAATGTGTTTCGCAAGTATTCAAAGTCTCTCTTTTTTGTCATGTTGGCTTGTGTGTTTGCATTTAAATACGCAGTTTGTACCCCCAAGCTCACAGAAGAAATTGTTTTCAAATATACTCTATTACTGAATCAGTCTGTAATGGTTTTTGCGCATTTTTGCAAATATCGATTGCTCAAGTGTCGTTAATTTTTAGCCTTCCTTATCGTTTTTTGCATTTTCTTCGATTTTTCTTTAGATCAAATCGGCATTTTTTGAGGTCTCTTTCATAAGCTACGCATTTTATTAGTTTCCTTAGTTTCTGAAGTGCTTAAAGAATGATCCTAAAAGTCCTTACGGTTGCTTTGTTTGCTTGTCAGCCTATTTTCTATCATTGTTATTGGGCTAATTTATTCGGACTTCCCCCGTCCAGTTGCACAGTTTCTGCACCATTCGCTTGCACATACTTCCTTCACTTTAGTGTTTCAGTTGGGATATTTTATTCCATCTTATGGAATAGTCTATAATGTATTTATTTATATTCAAATGGCAGGCGTTTTGATAGTTATCATTAGCCCTTTAGTTGACTTCAGGCTTCACAGAGGGGGGGGGGGGGGGGGGGAACAGGAACATCAAAGTGGGAAGAAATCGAGAGAGGGGGACTAGAAGAGTGATTCACAGATTTAAAAGAAACAGACAGACACAAAGGCTCAGAAAGGGTAAGATGAGTACTGCGGTAGGGGTCGAATATGACATACAGTGGGGGTGATGGTAGTTTGAAGTGAGAAGTCAACTGCCGAATAATAGACTTTTTTCCGTTTGATTATACGTTGCCCAGGGTTCAACACGAGGAGATAAGTCTATCCCACACTCCATAGTCTATAATGTTGATGTTTTTTTACAACGGTACTTAGGATCACAAGGTTCCTTATATATGAGGTAGTTAATGGCTTTCGCTCGCATCGACGCTGATGACAATTAAGACTTTTTAAGACATTTAAACTAAATGGATGGCAATAACTTTCCTCACCCAATTAGTCTCCACAGGCATTCTTACTAATGGCTAATTTAAGTTGAAAAAAGTCTTAATAGCAGGTAATATCTTATCCTAATGCCCATAGACAACATTATATTTTAATGTCGGGATGCTGTATAATAAGAGATGGTATGCTCCCTTTTCTCCCCATGCAATGTAGTTAACTTCACGGGGTTGATGGAATATCTTCTCGAAACTGAAGTGAATACTTATAATAAATAAATGGTCTTTTATTAATCCCCTTTCCTTAGCCCACGCTCCCCAACACGGAGCCCACATCTTTCGAAGCGCCTGGCCCAAGACCCCGTGTGTCAGTTTGCCAACGGGTCGTCGGCCAGTCATTGCCGTTCGCTTCTGTCCGCAACCCTTTCAACTTCGTGTTACCAATCCAGCACCTGGGGTGGCTACGTCCAGTCTCTTCGATCTGCCCTATCGTTGGGTCTTCTGTCTGGTTCTGGACGATGGTGTACTCCTATATGACACCCAACAGTCTCATCCATTTGCTCAGGTAGGCTAATGTGCACCCAACATCTTATTCTAATCTAATTAACGATTTTTAATAGCCTAGCAGAGGTGTGAGTTGGAGAGGGCAATATATATAGAGCTTACGCATGGAACTATGGGAAGATTTTCTTTTATTTAGTATTAGGCATGCCTTCTGCTTCAATTCTTCTCTCAGCTTTTAAGAAATCAGTCTGACCGTCATTTTATATTCATTTCGCCATTTAAACACCTACGATTGAATGTGGTATCTGAATAAATTTACTATTAAAGAAAGGTGATAGTGCAGTCGCTCTTCTCAAGATAAGCTTATCAGGTTTCATCATATTAACTAGGTAGCACTCAAATAAGCACTTCACTGATAATTTCAAGACCTCTATTTGAAGCCTCCCATTGTACTTTCATCTGGGACATTGTTTTGTGGGAAGCACTTATCGAGGTAATATAGAATTGAAAGGCTTAAAGATGATAGCCAGTACCCTCTTGGGTCCTGACTTTGAACAGACCGCCGCATGCTGCTGGCTTCTCATTAGTTTACTCGGCACTCTAATAGTCATGGATAGTATGTGTTGACGAAGTGCTCAACTTAACCTACTTCAGATTCTTCAGTTTGCACATTGTGTTTCATTGCTTGCAATGTAATGGAGTCGTTCTTGCTGATCAAATTGAACTGCGTGGTTGGTTGTCTACGGCACTGTTTGTGCGCCGATGAGTGTCGTTCTCATGACCTCTTACATGACAGCTGCACACAAGCCGTTGCCTCATCGGCGCCTATATGATGTTGCCTGTCTTAATCACCTGTGTTGCTTGTTCTATATGGAACTGGATTTAAGCAGCAATCCACCAAGGAAACTAGTGGACCATGCCAACCGGTGTGTTGGCGCAAAGAACCCTTTTATTGTGGAAACCTGCTCCAGCGTCCAAGGAATAGCTTGTTCCAGGAAGAGGCGTGTATATGTTATGGGAACCACATATAATCAGACCATATAAGGGTAATAGAACGCACGCGTATGATTGAATATTGGCGTACCACAGTTTCTGAATAACATAATGGCATAAATTACTATATCTCTTTCCAGATAATAGATATTCACTATCAAGCGTTGAATGACTCCTCGTGGTCGAG